ATTCCTACTCCAACACTGTATAGGAAACTCGTGAGCTCAGGTGCTGAGGAAAGCGATTACATATATTCCTACTCCAACACTGTATAGGAAACTCCTGAGCTCAGGTGCTGAGGAAAGCGATTACATATATTCCTACTCCAACATTGTATAGGAAACTCCTGAGCTCAGGTGCTGAGGAAAGCGATTACATATATTTCTACTCCCACACTGTATAGGAAACTCCTGAGCTCAGGTGCTGTGGAAAGCGATTACATATATTCCTACTCCAACACTGTATAGGAAACTCCTGAGCTCAGGTGCTGAGGAAAGCGATTACATATATTCCTACTCCAACACTGTATAGGAAACTCCTGAGCTCAGGTGCTGAGGAAAGCGATTACATATATTCCTACTCCAACACTGTATAGGAAACTCCTGAGCTCAGGTGCTGAGGGAAGCGATTACATTTATTCCTACTCCACCAACACTGATTTAACGAAAATTCCACACCGTTATTAATAAGCACCTCTGTGCGAGACGCTGAAGATCCGATTCCACTCCAAGCCGCTCAGACTCTCGAAATTTCCCTCTTCCGACACGATGACCATCACTGCGCGCCATTTGCTAGCATTAGACAAAATCATCCTACCGAAGTCTTGATAAACCTGATAGTAGTAGTCGACCCTCCAGACACTACGTGTCAATTTGATATGCAAACGTGTGTTATTTTGAAAGACAACTTATAGTGAACAAGTTGTCGCTACCATCGCAGTCCCAAACGGGTACTTTCATCACAACACATGTTCATAGCCATTGTTACATTGTATATGCGATATGGTTTTATATTGATTCTCATTAACCTCGAAAAACAACACACATTTGCATATCAAATCGACAAGCACTGTAGCATTGGAGTATAAAATGTTCGCTTTCCTCTGCTGAGCTCAGGAGTTGTTTTCTCACTAATTATAGGAGTTTACATACAGATTCGAGTGAAAATATACAGAAACCACTCCCCAAACTCTTCCCAGAATTTTCATAATGTCATCACCAACACATGTGGTTGATCATGTGCATATTTTCCCCCACTCGTAATCATAATGTTCTAGCGTATGCTCCGTTGTGTAGGCAACTGTGTGTGCCACAATGTTGCTGGGTTGTACCAGCTCATCTCTTTTGATATAAGGAGTATCGATTAGGATGAGGAGCGCTTATTTCGTATAGCGTGATCGATATATCCTCACAGTCTGTACGCAAGTACAAAGTTATAACTCCCTCTATCGGCTCCTGTTGTGCTTCTAGTACAAGGACGGTAATACGAACTACATAACACATAATAACCCCATGCAGAAAAATCCAGTAATAAAAAAAGGCTCTGGGCTTTAGTGTTCCCATCACCAACCCAGAATTCGTGGTATGCCCATCAGCACAGTAAAACTTGCACAAGTGTTGGTGATGACAATACCAAAACTCTGAGAATTTCTCTTAGTTCCTGTCCACTTCCTCGTACATATCCTCTCGATTCGCATATGAACTCCTATGATTAATGAGGAAACTATTGAGCTCATCAGCTGAGGAAAGCAAGCACATATTTCGCAGCACTGATACGCCCATTATCGCCCCACCCCAGCGCGACTCACTTTATCCCGATTCTCTTTCCTCGGCCGCCTAGGTATGTGAGTAACAACCATGCAGTTATCAGGCGGATTCATACCAGCCTCCACTAGCGATCCACGACGCTGTATCGCCAACCTCGGCACTGCCACCCCATCATCATCATCTGCTGCTGCTCTACCTTCTCGCGAGGCTACCACCGTATCAGTCAGGAACTCCGATATAGTACCTACCAGAACGTAATCTAAAGCATCCTCCTCAGAATGCGGGGTACCCACCATATTTGCTAGTCATCGTTGGAGCCTCTGTTGCTACCACTCGACGTGGCAATGACCGTCGGAACTCCTCTACTTCCCGCTTAGCTCTAGCCACCACTTCAACGTCTGCACTAGACCCAATTATAGTAACATTCGATAACGCCTCGTGAGGAGTGATACTAATATCATCTACCAAACTCGAGTACTCCATATGATCGTGCGTAGGAAATCTGAAAATTTTTCTAAAATTTCTCCCGAAAAAAGGCAACGTACTGTGTAAAAGGGTACTCCATCGCCGGACTCCCAGGAGGCGTTCCTGAGATCATCGCTGCTGCTTCTAAGCACAGACTTGTCGAATGCAAAAAAGGATCAAACACTGTACCTAGCAGAGCAAAAATATGGACATCTCCTATACAGTGTTGGAGTAGGAGTATATGTAATCGCTTTCCTCAGCACCTAAGCTCAGGAGTTTCCTATACAGTGTTGGAGTAGGAATATATGTAATCGCTTCCTTCAGCTGAGCTCAGGAGTTTCCTATACAGTGTTGGAGTAGGAATATATGTAATCGTTTTCCTCACCTGAGCTCAGGAGTTTCCTATACAGTGTTGGAGTAGGAATATATGTAATCGCTTTCCTCAGCACCTGAGCTCAGGAGTTTCCTATACAGTGTTGGAGTAGGAATATATGTAATCGTTTTCCTCACCTGAGCTCAGGAGTTTCCTATACAGTGTTGGAGTAGGAATATATGTTCGCTCTCCTCACCTGAGCTCAGAAGTTTCCTATACAGTGTTGGAGTAGGAATATATGTTCGCTCTCCTCAGCTGAGCTCAGGAGTTTCCTATACAGTGTTGGAGTAGGAATATATGTAATCGCTTTCTTTAGCTGAGCTCAGGAGTTTCCTATACAGTGTTGGAGTAGGAATATATGTAATCGCTTCCCTCAGCACCTGAGCTCAGGAGTTTCCTATACAGTGTTGGAGTAGGAATATATGTTCGCTCTCCTCAGCTGTGCTCAGGAGTTTCCTATACAGTGTTGGAGTAGGAATATATGTAATCGCTTTCCTCAGCACCTGAGCTCAGGAGTTTCCTATACAGTGTTGGAGTAGGAATATATGTTCGCTCTCCTCAGCTGAGCTCAGGAGTTTCCTATACAGTGTTGGAGTAGGAATATATGTAATCGCTTTCTTTAGCTGAGCTCAGGAGTTTCCTATACAGTGTTGGAGTAGGAATATATGTAATCGCTTCCCTCAGCACCTGAGCTCAGGAGTTTCCTATACAGTGTTGGAGTAGGAATATATGTTCGCTCTCCTCAGCTGTGCTCAGGAGTTTCCTATACAGTGTTGGAGTAGGAATATATGTAATCGCTTTCTTTAGCACCTGAGCTCAGGAGTTTCCTATACAGTGTTGGAGTAGGAATATATGTAATCGCTTTCCTCAGCACCTGAGCTCAGGAGTTTCCTATACAGTGTTGGAGTAGGAATATATGTAATCGCTTTCTTCACCTGAGCTCAGGAGTTTCCTATACAGTGTTGGAGTAGGAATATATGTAATCGCTCTCCTCAGCTGTGCTCAGGAGTTTTAAAGCTGATCATATGAGTTTACATACGATTTCGAGTGGGAGTGTAGAGGCAGCAGTAATAAAATTCCAAAATTTCCATATTGTCGCCAACACATGCAGTTGAGCATGTGCATATTTTCCCCCCACTCCACCGTTTCACATGGTTCGCCCTTATCCAGCAGTTGCAGCAATGAGCTCTGTTGAAGGCATGCTGCGGCGACGTGTGAGGGTATCGTGTTGGCAACCTCCTCAGGAGAGTATGCGCGGATCTGCTCTCCAGAGGCGTCAGCGCATATCTAAAAATAACAGCTCTGTCCCAATGCTACAGTGCGTGCCAATTTGATATGCAAATGTGCGTCATTTTTTGAGGTTAATGAGAATCAATATAAAACCATACCGCACATACAATGTAACAATGACTATGAACATGTGTTGTGATGAAAGTACCCGTTTGGGACTGTGATGGTAGCGACAACTTGTTTACTATACATTGTCTTTCAAAATAACACACATTTGCATATCAAATTGACACGTAGTGTACAATCCTCAGTAGCAGAGCGCCCTCTGAACAGGCCCCTCCCAGCAGGGCATGCGTGCAAGGGATGTTGACCAATGGTCACTCGCTCCCCTAAACATGCTCGATCATGGAATGTTCATGGATTCACCTGCTGTGTGAGCCTTTACCCTCATTGTTATCATGACGCACGCATGCGCTTTGCACGCGCGCACATGTCATATATCAATAACGCGTTTTTTATCATCGATTTCGCTTTCCGTAAGCTAAGCTTTTGCGACGGTCAGTTCAGTTCAAAAGCTTTGAATATATATAAAAAACTACAAGAGAGTTGAAATTTTTCATTCATCGAAATCTCAATGTCGCAGAGTTCAGTCCAGTCCGACGAAACAATAACAATTAATAACAGTTACCGAGCCTTGTACCTAATGGAGTTTCACGACTCGTTTTACGTGAAGTGGCGTCGTAAAACTCGGTGAAAAACGCGATATTCAACGCGGTGATATGCAGTAGTCGTGAAATATATTTTTCACTAGCGTTTTTCATATCACTAGGGCGAGTTGTACTGTTATCAACTTATATGTATATAACCGTATTTTCCCTAGCTATACCATTCTAAATTGATCGTTCAAAACAACGGTGCGGAGGTGCTCATTTCCTCACTATCGCTACAGTGGTCAGCTATAGAATTTTGAGCAAAAGTCTTAACCTCAAAAAATACCGATTTTAATACCAAAAAACTACCAATTTTTCCAATTTTTCCAATTTTTGTTGAAAAAAACGCATTTTTTCCCAAAAAAATGGGTAAATTTTCGCGAAATTCCGGTAAAATATTAAATTACGCAGAACCACAGTAGAGCTAAATTACTTCAAATAAGTTGTCCACAATATTGATGAAGATCTTCGGGGCGTATACAGTTGAATTGGCGTTGCGTTCATCGAGATCCTCATCCAGTCTCCTCGAGTTCCGAGATGCTGTTATGAATTCACGTTTGTTAACCAACTCCTCCTCTACCTAGTAGGAACTATATGAAAACACCACTGGAAAAAATTTCGAAACCAAAGTGTCCGATTCAAATCAGCTTACATAGTCTTATTGCAGGAGAATTCAAACCAGAGCGTATTTTTTTCTTTAGAAAATTCGAGAAATCACCATTTCACGCTAAGTAGTGTTTCGAACTGATACTTCAACTACATCAGCTACCATGCACTCAAGTAAAACGATCATATTCGTCACCGTTATCCCTATAGAATGCCAACCGAGAAATTAATACCACACAACCGTGCAAATTTCTTTTTCCTCATTTTCACCAAAGCCCTGGGAATCACAAAGCGCACGCCCCAACGATCGATTTGACA